CGATTCTGCGTAGATTTGATTTCGACATCGATACGAAGTGATGTCGACTGAAAAACGACGACGCCAACCGTAATAGGGGGCCATATTAATAGGAAACAGGATTATCAGGATTTAACTTTCAACTGGTGGAAAAATATTTACAAATCATTTAACTTAACCGTTTAATTCTTTGCCGTTAGGTAATAGTGACTCTCTATTTTCTCTTTCTGGAAATGGAGATTGAAATCGGTGGTACCTCGATTGTAAATGAAGAATATTTCTAAATATAATGCATTTAAATAATAAATTGATATTAAGACGAGAAAAAAAATTAAAAATAAAATGTTAATCATAAAATTAAGGCAAGCGAACCGTGATATGTCTCACAGACGTAATATGGTTATCTATTCTGCAACTTTCAGTAGGGTTATCAAAGCAGGATTAAGGATATCAGTTCAGCTCGCTTGTATAATATAGGGGGATCTCTTTATTTGCCAAGTTGTCGAAAAGAGTTTTATAAAACGATACTTACACACTTCCACTTCCTCGAACTAATAACAAATCCGAAAAACGTAATGTTTGTAATTTATTTTATTGACGATGATTTCTTAAATTAAATACTATTTATGTAGTTTCGTTTTATACATACATATGAATGAAATTTTGTATACATACGTGAAAATATATGCGCTTGTATATTTTTTATGAGCTTCAAGGTGCTAAGCCTTGAAATATGCACTGCTTTTAATTGCATATTAATTTTTCATGTGCCTGATTGATCCACTTTCAAATAATTAAGGCTTACATACAAAGCATGATTTCTTACCTAAGCTTAACAGCTACTAAAATCTTACACTCAAATGACGAAAGCCCATTTTTGGGAGTAAAATTTTGTATTCCGCGACTAAATCTAAACTCTAAAATCTCTTTGCTAAGATATTGTTGAAATGATTTCTTATCGATCAAAAATAGTTCGTCTTGTCTTGGTTAGTTTTGTGATAGTCCGAATAACTGCAGTAAATTGCAAAATCAGATATAGGGTATTGAATATAAGCCCACGATAAGTATAATATTGGGCTTTTTCCATAAACTGAAAGGTCTGAAACATTTCGAAAGTGCCGAAAATTTTCAAAATTCGATAGTGAAAGGTCAAAATCTTAAATATATTTTCAAAGTTTTACTATCATAAAAAATCCCCAAATTAGCGTTTGGAGAAAATCGTAAAATGTTAGTTATTCCATCAACGTTTTCTAACACAAAATTAAACTTCGTTCATCCTAAGAACACAGAACTCATTGATCTATAGTTTTTTGGGGCCTTTACCAACAACCACATGGAGGAAAAAGTTCAGAACTAGAACGATGAATTCGCCTTTATACATATGCCCAAAGCCAGCCAAGATTTTTTTCATATTTATTTTTACCAACAATTTTTTCTACACAATTCAAATTCTAAAAAATTCTACATGCGCTACGAAAAATTCGTTTACAAGCATTATTCTTAGCTACATATGTATTAGTACTGTCATATTAGATTATTGATATACTATAGGGTCCTCTAGATCTCTTTCCATGGAACAAAAGTTAACATTAATGCGATTTTCAAAATATCTCGGCCACCTAGCGAGTACAAAAGCAACTCTGGCAACAAATTACAAAAATTTCACGCAATCGGAGCTTTAAGTTCCCTGAAAAAGATCTTGAGGGCTGCGGTCTAATCTGACTGTACTTTATTCCATTATCATTAACTAATAATCTATATAATTTTCATAAATGTTTGAATATCCAAGAATTGCTATGCATACTTCTTAAATGATGCTAAAATTCCGGGGCTTGTTGCTTTGTTTTTATAACCTTAAGACCGAATCAGAGAACATTTGACCATTTGGCCAAAACTTTACGTTAATTGGTGCCCGATATAGAACAGAGATCGTGTGCACCACAAAATATTGGACTTTGTCCCAACAATGGTAAACAATTTTTAAGCATTTTCCATGACTTGAGGACTGATCGTCAGAGATATGTATACCAAAACATTTAAAATAATCGTTACGAGATGAAGAATCTAGAATTTAAAAATCAGGGCTATCACAGAATCCTTCGTAGTACGATTTTAAGTGAACTCTACGAAAATGCTATCACAGAATTCGAATTACCACGAACATAGCGTATACTTTGAATACACACGTTCATCGCAATTCGGATTCAGGGATCGCCTTTTTGGAGATTTCATGAAAAATCGGACTACGATAGATTCTGTGATAGTCCCCAATATCGGGGACGAACCCGAAAGGAACTACAACTGATGGACCTCTGCAGTCACCGAGTTTTAAAAGAGACACGGCAATGTTTGGTAAAGGCAGGCAGATGAAATGTCATAAAACAAAAGAATCGTGGTGTAAACATGTGCATAACCGTCATGAGCAACAACTTGGCTAAATCAAATATTAAAAACTGGAGTGAGAGCCGGAATAATTGCTAGGAATATGTCAGGCCGTATTTGACAACGCTGCTTTTTTAACGCATTCAAGACTGCACTTACAAAAAAAAAAACGGCCTGCAGAAGTTCAATTATACAAAAAAAAAAATGGATTTGCAAAATTAATAAAAACCACCACCAATATATCAATGACTTCAGTAGAATGAATTTTTAGGCATACATAGATACATCTATGTATTTTTCAAAAAGAATGCACTGTTATCAAATGTGGAATTGCAAAAAGTGAGACTTGGAAAATTAAATTTTGCCTCCATTTGTTCGACAGTAGCCTCAGTAGCAGTAATCATAAATTCGCTACGTCCAACAGTGTCGGACTAAGCACAAATCAAGCAACGAAGTGGAATTGCTTAACTACCGCTGCTTGAATTTTTCATGTTTAAAATGAATAATAAGATTGCTCATTTTTTCAATAAATTTTTTTTTTTAATTTTTGTAAAATTTCATACATGCATATTTCTTTAATGAATTTTACATATGCTGCTATCACAATAATTTGATTACAATTTAATTTGCTTAAATTTTATTGTAAATACATACATATGTACGTGTTTGTGTACAATTTGAATTTTATTTTATCTTTTCTTCTATTACTCTACATTAAATTTAGCACGGTAATTTAGTACATATATTAGCTTAACTAACACTTAAATGTAATTCGTATTAAAAATAAAAGTATATGTATTCCATAATACATAGGTGTGTTATCGTTCAAAAATTCTTAGTTTTAAATTTTAAAAATAATATTCGTACTCTGATGTGTGATGATTTGTATTTGTTTATGTACTTTAGCAAAAATAATTAATAATGCATTATTTTTTAAATGTAATGAATAAGCTGGTATAGCTGAATACTATTTGTAATATTATATGCATAATATTCTAAGTCGTTTAAGTTTTGGTACTCTGGTAAATACGATTTTCCGTTATTTTGTATAATTTTTTTTTTGTAAGGTTTTAAAGATGTTTTTTATTTACAAGTCTGATTTTTTGAGCGTAATTTTTTAAGTATGAGAACATCTAGCATTTTGAAAACAACACGGGTTTCCATGCGGGTTTTTTTTTAATAAGTAGTATTGGAAAGTGTGATTTGATATTTTTATTACCTACTCAATTACATTCAACCTCATGTACAGCTTTTATATATGTATTTTTGCTCGATTTTCACAGTGGGACTCATATGTAGCTGTTAAATTCAAATAATTTTTTTGCCCCAAAATCTACAGTTTACCGCCGAATGTGAACTACGTTACTGTGAAAATGGCCTACTTTTTTACGTGTTTAAAAAATATTCTCTATCATAAAATATGAAATAAAATTTTTTGTATGAAAAATAAGTGAAACAAACAGCTCTAATATGTAACTTAAATTGATATACATGTATAATTGCTTTTATATAGTTCGCTTTAACTATTTTGTCGATCCATAAAGTTAATATAGAAGGAAGGTAATTACTTTTTTCATATTAATGGCGAATCACATTAAAACTTTCATTCACAAATAATGTCGTATAAGTTCGGGCAAAAGCCGAACTACATATGTATATCCGGAGCAACCCGTTAAATATCGCCTTTTGCCGCTTTCGAAAATCGCGATTAACCAGTTGTCGCTTTCGTATTTCTTAAAAGTAACCATTATTTGGGAAGTGAGTTTTTTTTATTTGTCAGTTTTTGCCCATTTTCAACGGCATGGTTTAATCGATTTCTCTTTCTATTCCATTTCGAATTCTTTTGGCTTTTGCAAACAACTCTTATGAAAAGTTATAATACACTTGTCTACAAAAGTTCTCCGCTATAAAAACTGGTGAAAATTATAGGAAAACAAAACAAATAGTCACTCCCTTTCTATACTGAACTTAAACGCCAAATCTACCACACCGCTAGCAGCATTTGAGCCGTTTATTTTGCAAGTTGCATAAGTCATTTAAACCGCTTGTGCTTAAATTCTTGATTACTTCTAACTGAATGCATCTGCAAATCGTTCTACCGTCAAAAACTAATGAAAAACTTTTTACCTTTGACTGATGAAGTTGAACGAATAACACGACGTCTTTAGATACGGGTAAATGGTCACTGAAGCCAAATGGCATGAAATGACTTATGCCACTTTCAAATTAAGCGGCTCATTTGATTGGGCATTGATTTTACGACTAAAATTTTAACTATGTTTACAACAATTAAAACTTGCGTTGGTTGGTCTGCTCATTACTGAACATTTTGTAATCGAAAAATTTGATTAACAATCATCAATTATCATATAAAAATTTAAGAGGACCGTTGATTTCTTCATGATCCAATGATCGTATCTTAACCAAATTAGTATGGAACCACCTTACCGTTAAAAATTAGAATTAGAATAATTATAGAAATTGGTTAATGTGGTTCAAAGATATGCGGTAGCATGTATAAAAAAAATATTATTCCGACGAATTGTTAGCCTCCTCCTTTTTTTGAAGTCGATTAAAAACAAAATAATGTATTTCTTGCAGTTGTCAGTGTTCAGCTTCCTCTTAATCTATTTTTTTTCCTTTTTTATTACATATATATCGTTTGCACTAAACAAGTTTATACCACGAATAGCCTTTTATATTTACTTCATATTTTTCTTAATTATTATTACAGTGCATTCTTTTAATCTCAATTGCAATGATACTGACGGTTGATTTTTGTATTGTTGGTATTGACCAAGCTTGTATATGTAGCTGATGAAATTATAGACGTACTGCATACGTAGTTATGATTTTTTTTTTTTTATTAATTTGTGTATGTAAATTAGACAAATACATCATAACGTTATACGCTTTTAATTTAAATACAAACGCTTGAATTTAAACATCGTTTGTAAACTTAAGTTTTAATTATTTAAATTTGGGAAATAATTTTACAAAAAAAAAAAAAAAATTGATTTAATTAATTACAAATTCTTTGCGGCTATCAAAAGACTTAAAATTTAAGAATCCGCTGTAAATGTTAAACGTGTACAAAACGCCCGGAAATTCTAGCACAAAGTTGATGAATTTTTCCAAGTAAAGAAACCGAAATAAAATTGGTTGTGTGAAAGCATAACAAATAGGAAATTTCTCATTTTTAATAGTATTTACAAGTATGATGTATGTATGTGCATATGCATGAAGGTATGTATGTCTGTAAGTAGCATGTGTTTGTTTGTTAATGAAACTTGAACCAAACGAGAAATGTTGTTTACTACAATTATTATTATTTGTTTTTTTATAAAGTATAGGTATATAAATTAATATATTCTTAATTGTTGCAGCAATATGCAGCTGTTTACATGTATATGTGTGTGTAAAATCATAGCTATTTAAGTTTTTAGCACAGCTGCTATTGTCCTTGTGTTTGGTAATTTGTTTTCGCCATTTTGTCTTACGCGCTATAGTAATTGCTCGTCGTCGCGGTCGTGTCGTAGTTACTCTACAACTTGATAATTAGTCAGTTAGTAGTTGATTCGTTATTTCTTCTCCGCAATATTAGCAAAACTAAGAATCGTTTTCGGTGGTGCTATTTGCGGCGCGGCTGCTACTACTAACGACACTTCTACCTCTTTCAATTGCTCAATTTCTATCAATTGCTGCTGCTGTTGCTGCTCATGCCCCGCATCATCCGTGTCTAACAAACGCACATTTTCTGACTCAACAATACTGCTGCTGCTGCTGCTGTTGTACTCATTTGGTGGTCATAATCATTGCACAGTTGTGCTCATCGTCGGTGTTGATGCTGATGCAGATGACGAAGCTGTTGAAGTAGCGGCCACAGCCGCTGCCGTTGTTGTTGGTCGCTCGCCAACATCTTCACATATGGTGTGTAACTTTTCCATTTCCGATTTTGTCACTATATTGATGGAGCTTACTTTGGCGCGCTGATATGCCACCACAGTGTTTTCTCCCAGACACTTGATGCACACATAGCCGATGAGTACGGCGATACCGACTGTTAGTACACGTATCAGCGGATCTACGTACAGTTGGATGACAACCCAAGCGCTAGCGCCGGCAACACACATCAATGTCATCAGTATGATTGTCTTGGACCAGTGCTGCATGTTGAAACCCTTCTCCCAGTCGAGTCTGCAAAGATATTTGAAGATTATGTATGCCGGTCGGAAATGGGTAAATGATTTTTCCGGGATAGTAAGAAATTAAATTGGAAGATCTTTACTTTTTAGATCTTTTACTTAGAGCTATAAAAAACTGATCAAATTTGATTCATAAAAATGTGATGTGATTATAGTTATTTTTAATTACAAAGAAAATCATTAATTGCGCTGAGTTTTCACAAATAGAATTAAAATTTCAGAATAACAAATATTTTTTATCAAAAAAAAAAATCGTCAAAAATTTATCAAATTTGATCGAAAAGAGTAAAATCCTGGAATATTGATCGAAATTTAAAAATACAAATAATATGAATCCCAAAAATTAAATATGTATTCACAAATAGAATTTAAATTCCAGAATGCCGTTATTTTTGATAAAAAACCAAAAAATCTATCAAATTTGATCGAAAAAATTAAAGTCGCAAAATAATGATAGAAATTTAAAAATCATAAAAAGGTCCAAATTCAAAAAATTATATATAATTACAATGTTTTTCAAGTTAAAATTTGAAAAGAAAAAACAAAAAAATATCGCTAACCAATTTTTTTTTTATTGATTAAGTAAAAGTCATGAAATATTAAAATTTGATTGTAAGAACTAAATTGGCAGAAAATTTAAAACAAATATCGAAAGCGATCGAAAAAATGGACTTCCAAAAATAACGATACGAATATTTTCGACAAATAAAAAATCATAAAATATCATTCCGAGAAATTAAAATGCGATGATAACGATTACTTTTTATTGAAAAGTAAAAAAATCATAAAATACATACATATCGCAAATATTTGATTAACGGAACTAAAATCCAAACAATTATGTTTAATCAAAAAACGTAACGTTTAAAAGACGAATTAAAAACAACAAAAACGGATTGTTTTATTTCAACCCGGCTCAAAAAAATCAATATAATTACTGCTTTTTTTTTAAATATTTTTTTCTTTTTCGAAAAATATCGATTTTGTTAGTTTCCAAAAGTAAAAATCTTCCAAGTAAATATGAAATATTTTTAACCCGCCTTTTATTTTTATATTCTTTTAGATTATTTAAAATACTTATGCTTACTTTTTACTCTTCTCAATTTCGTAGGGGAAGCCACAAACTTTGCACGATAGCTGCGCATCTGTTGAGCTGCAACTCTCCACCAGCCACCGTTTGAGACACTCATGGTGCACCGAGCTAACATCGCCAGTACAACGACATGGTTGTATAAGCGGTTCAGGTTTGTCATTATCATAACAAATCCAGCAGTCTTTTTTCGTCAAAAATGATTGACCTTCCTCCGGTGAGAGGCTCTTAGTTTCAGCCGATGTAGTCGGTATGGAAGGATCGATTTGACGTGAGAGCAATTTGCGTGGATTCAAAATCCAAAGCTGCTCGGGTGCCATCGAATTCCACAGGCAACAGGGGAACCAAACAGCAACACCCATCTCCACAATACGGAAGACAATGTCATGCCAATTGCGTGAGTACACTGGCACTCTGGACAAAGTGAAACGAAATGGTATTTAATTTAATTATTTCATATTTTATTTTGTGTATTAATTGACGTCTTACTTTGTTTTCCAGAAATCACCTAATGTCTCTGATGTGAGGAAGCCCACAATAACGATTAACATAATCGCTTGCGATAATAGACCCAAACGCGACTGATGTAGCTGTGATGCATTTACGATCGCTTCACTGGGACCGAGTATTTTGCCTGTCTGATCATAAACAAAGCCGCCACGCAACTTGAAATACACTTCGACGCCATAGATCAAAAAGAAAATAACTACAATGAGTAGCAGCACTGCATAACAGCCGTTGAAAATGTGCGCATAATTCTGCCGATCGGCAGTGATCAGCGATGAGAATACTTCAACGCCAAATAAGCTGTAGAGGAATAAGTTAAACGCAACAAAGCCGAGGAAACTCTTCGATAGAAATTGTGACCGCTCCCAACGGATATCGCGTAAATGGAAAATCTGCAACGAAAGAAGAAAAATAAAAGCGGGTGAGTGATCAAATTTGTATTATCATTATTAACACTATAAAAAAAGCAACTAAGTCCAGTCTGTCCGTCCGTCTGCGAAACTGGATTTCGTAAATATAAATTTTTGTATCTTTTTTATGTTGCCATGTCAACTCCGAACGGCAGATGGTGTTTTATGAAAAGCTTTCTTGGCAGAAATACACTCAGAAGATCCAACTCAGGATCTAGTGGTAGTATGTTAAGCAGAGACAAATATTAGCTGCCTAAGGTCGAGGCCACGCAATGAGCCGCAAAGCGGCGAGCGGCTGAGCGGCGCCATACAAAAATGCCGCTCAGTGCGTGGCCACTTCAATAGCATTTCATATGTTTAATTTTAAGCCGCTCAGCCGATCGCTGCTTTGCCGCTCATTGCGTGGCCTCGGCCTAAGGTGCATATCGTCGGTGATACTGCAAAACGGTCTATGTCTATTAGTACCCTTGACACTTAGATAGATGGTCTCTTAAAGGCCCTACACACGGAACGATTTATCGGCCAACCAGTTGGCCAACCGCTGGAAGTTGGTGGTAAATAAGCCGTATGTAGGCAAGTTGGCAAACCTTCGTCGCGTTGTTCGTCAGGTTGGAGAAAAATCAAAATTTTTTGATTTTTGAGGCCGATTGGTCAACTTGTCGCTCTGTGTGTAGACAAGTTGGCAACCTAAAATGCGATTTAATTTTTTTTTTTAAAGCGCATTAACGATGGCAAGTGTTTTTCGGTTCGTTTCGCTAGTGAAAATGTGTTTAATTTGTGAAAACGGGGGGCGGTAGCAATAACAAATACATAAAAATGAGAAGCATTCGTAGCAAATCTTAAAAGTTTACCGGTGCTGTTGTGTTGTTCACAGTTCAAAAACTCTCACTCAAATGAAATACGCCAACTGGTTGGTGCGTTTGTAGGGAATTTCGTTTATTGGGTTGGTCAACTGGTTGGCCGAAAAATCAATGCGTGTTTAGGGCGTTTTACGTGCACCGGAATGCATCTGTAAATCGTTACACCCTAATAAACGAATGACAAAACTGTCTACCTTCGGCTGATGAAGATGAACGGTTGCCAGAAGCGATCAGATACAGATAACAGATCAATTAAGCACCAGAGGTAATAAGTGACAGGACGTTTTGCAGTATCACCGCCGATATGCAGAATTAGCCACCAAATATCGTTTGTATTAATTTGGTGGAATACTCCTGGGTAATTAACTGAAGACCTGTTGCAGGCGGATAATGCTACAAAAGCTTATTAATATTGCAGCAATTCATTGCAGAAGATTTTCTTTTGACATCCCAAAGGTATGCCTTCGAGTAGGTACAAATATTTTAGATGGCTGAATACTGACTCGATCATCTCTGATGCCAGAAAATATTGAAACGTTATTTCTTTCCGAGAGATTCCCTCTTCCGAGTGCATTGTTGCCATAAAATCAGTTTTCATAAAAAAAAAACCATCTGCCGTTCGGAGCTCTAATAAGGGAACCCTACACTATTCGTACCGCTAACGTGCATTGTCGCTATACTCCATGACCGCCTCCCTTACAATTCGTTGCCTAAAAAATTCGGTAAATATTTGCCGATAGTTGGCTTGAACGCCGATTTTTTCGTGTATCATTCATACATCGCAACTGGTAGCGAAGTGGCATGTTTTAGTTGAAAAAAGTAAGAATTTTTAATTTTTTACATGAATGAAAAGTTCAGTAATTTCGGGGAGTTTTGCATTTTTTATGCGAGAAGAATTTAAAGATAAATTTCGTAAAGCTAATGCTGTAGCTAGAAAAAGAGCCGTGTAGTGGTTATTCGATTTTGTTTTGAAAATTCCGATATTAAGAAATTTCCCTTGCTGTGATACATACAGTTTGTGTTAAAATGTATCAAATATTTTTGTAGCTTTTTATGTACCGTATTGCATGGAAGACATATTGTTACATTTTGGAAAGTTTTTTGACGTAGAATACGTCTTACCTTAAGGTATGGGGGCTATGTNCTTATTACCGCTTTTGTTATCGATATTTTTTTCTTAGTTTGTGCTTTCGTTTTTGCTCTTAACCATACCACGTATTCTACGTTTAAATTTAGCGGGTGTATTTCCGATACAGCCTGCAGACGAAGACGAAGGCGCTGGACTGTTCCTTTTTTTTTATATTTATTATGACGCCACAATCTCATCATTGAAATGTCCGACTAATTCGTTCACGTTGTCGTATTTCTGTTTCCTGTTCGTTTGTTCAATTTTGTTAATATTCGTGATCGTGTTCAATTAAGTTATAATTAAATTATTAACTAATATATTCTTTTTTCTAGAACCCATACCCAAAGAAAGCGCATCAGCCTCTCTCCTTAATGCGCTAGAGGTGCATAAGTATAGAAGAGAAACGCTAAACGCGCCAATTTAGGTATGGCCATAGAACAGATGTTCCAGCTATTGGTAATATATCGAGCCTTTAAATTTTTTCGATGGTTTTTCTAAACTCCATTTTGATTTATTGTACATTAAGCCAGCGTCGCCGAGATAGTGTCGATGTTTCAATGAAATTTACTGGTTTAAGATTAATTTATTTGAAATTGTACACAATCATTATAAACTGAAGAAATGAGTCTTATAGGCGGTGTCGTCAACTTATTAGTTGGCAATGTCAAAGTGTACTGTCAAATCATAATTTATATAATGATATGTACTTTAAAAACGTATAAATATGCTTTCCTTTCTACCGCCATACCAAAAAATCCATTTGAAAAACTGTAAATTTAGTATAACTTCATCAATTCTAATGCAATATAGTGCTTGCTTCGCATAAAATGAAATTCATATTTAATATACACATTTTCAGAAACGAAACGAGACGAGAAACGAGAGAAAGAAAACGACAAGAGTATATGCCTTGCTCTTTGTATTCATTTCTCTTTACAAAACAAAAAAACTCTACAAAAAAAAAAAAAAATGCAAAATACTAACTTTTTTGAATTTAAAACCTGACACCTCTTTGCGAGCGCTAGTGTAACCATCCATGATACAATAATTCTTAGAAGGTAGTTTCACTCGCTTTTTCTTATCCACCATGTTAGCTATCTGACAGAAATCGTGTTTCGTATTTTTTGTGGTACGAATTTAAAAAAAAACATCAGCTTTTGACGCTGGAAAAATAAAACTAAGCAAAGCCAAACTGAACAGAAGAGAAATTTTCAAAAATTATTTAATATTTTCCTTCATAAAAATGTTGACAAAATTAACTGCTGCTTCCGGGGGAACGATATGAGCACCGCACTCCGCTGATTTAGTTGGGACTCGCTAGAAATATCTTAATGAAGGTGTATGGATGTGCGTACACTACACTAATTTAATCGCTCCGCCTAATTAGGTGTGGTACAATGGAAACACCAGCGAGGCCAACTAAATCGGCAGCCGATAAAGTCTGTGGTGTGCCAAGAAGTTTTGCCGTCGCATTTTCGTTCATACATATTTACATATGTATGATTTTTATTAATGTGATTAGCAGTGGCAAGTATGTACATATGTATTAAATACATACATATCGATGGTCCTGTGCAATAACGACACAATTCAAAATTCGAAAAATAAAAACTCTTTCTACTGTTAAGTCGCTCGTGTCTTTAATCTTTGTCTGATCCATGTCGAATCCTTACGACTAACTGCAGTAAACCTTACTACTTACTTTAGCAAGAATTACGCATGGATAAGAAATGGATTAGAGACATAAGCCACTTAACAGTAGGAAGGGATTTGATTTTTTGAATTTTGAATTGTGTCGTTATTACATAGGACCATCGATATATCGTCGTTTAAAGTACAAAACCGCGTATCAACAAAATGCAAAATCGCATATCGAGATTAGTGCATAAATTATTTTCTAGAGTGATGTATTGTGGAACGATTTTCCGTCATCCCTTGTCAAATTTGGTTTGAAGACAAACCGGTTTCGGCGTTGCCATCTTCAGTGTCATTTTTCGTTGGTGAAAGCACTCATATTTCAAAATAGTTTTTTTTTTTAAGCAATCGCATTCCTGGCTAGTATATTTCAGCACGAATGGATAAGGCTTGAGCCAAGAGCTTCGGTGAACAAATCCAATTTTAGGCAAAAATGACAGTTATGCGGTTTTGCAGAACGACGATACGCGGTTTTGTAGTTTAAACGACGATATGTATATTAAAAGTGAAGATATCAGATATGAAATAAATAAATATTTACATGTTCCGTTAAAAAATATCTAAAATAATAAGCGAAAATCAATCCCCAAGTTCTATATCGTAGCAGTGGCTACTTTGCGTGTTTGTCACAGACACAGTTTATGTAAAAAATTTTTAAGTGAAACTACCTTCTAAAAATTATTGTATCATATTTACCATCTGCGAAGTATGCATATGACATGAAAAATTCGGCGGTCAAATAATTAATCGGCAAAATTTTACCGAACATTTTAGGCAACACTTATAGAGGGGGGGTATACACGGCGTTTCTTTATAATGCATCTAAAAAATAAATGCGATAGCAGTCCCTCCCTACCCCTACTGCTGCGGCCGCACCAAAATTGTTTGGCGCAAGTGAAAAAACTTTCGAATATCTAAGATCAAATGTAAAATTTTCAATTCAGTGAGGTCTTAAATGCCTCAACAATTTAATGCCACCGTCAACCAAAGATGTTTGGAATTATAAATGCATTACAAATAAATTTGAATATCGGGATTTATTCATTTGATCAAAAAATAGCACCGTGTAAGTAAATCAGACGAACCCTTCTGAGTGACTGAATACATGTCATAAGCCTAGTCGATCAATTTACAAAGCTGGGTTCAAATTAAAACTTTTCTAACACGCCGAAATTGTCAACTTATTCATAAAAACAATTTTGCGCATGACTAAACGGACTACGGCGGTCGCTGTGGTGCAGTGGGTAGCACTGCGCGCTACCATTGCGCAGGGTCTAGGTTCAAGCACAGCTTCCGAGCTCAAAAATAAAATATGTAAAAAAAAAAATGTTTGGAATAGTGGTCGCCCATCGGCAGGTAGCTTCTCATAAAAACACAATCGCCGTTCGGAGTCGGCGCAAAACTGTAGCTCCTTTTCCTTTGTGTGACAAGATTAAGGCGCACACAATTTTAAGGTTTAAATATCGATTTAAAACAAAGAATGTTAGAGGTTTTTGAATAAACAATGAGCTTAGCAAGAAATGTTTGCTTTATCTTTGAAATAAATCTGAGACTTACTCAATTTTGCTGCATTTTTTCCAATAGTCCGGCATTTGTCAAAAAATATTTAATCCGATTAATTTTCGCTATAAGTTATGTCTTGAATATATGGAAAGTTTCTTTTTAGAACTTTTTTTACAAGTTTAAAGTTCTTGACAATTTCATTATTTCTCAAAAAAAAAAAAACAACCATTTTTTCTGAATCCATAGTAAAGCCCCAAATCGCATAGCAAATATTAAAATAAAAATTTAATAAATTGATAATTTGCGGGTGTTGGAAAAATTTTAAACATAAGTAGCTTCGTGAATTATTCGATCAGAGCTACCGTCTGCACTAAATCACACAAAAAGTTTTTTTGTTGATGCAAATGTTACGAGATATAAGTTTTTAACGGTAGAAATTAAATTTGTTTGAACTGAAAATTTTAATTTATGTTTTCACTTGAACCAAACAATTTTGGTACGGCCAATCATTGTCACTTAAAAAATACAACTAACTTCGTAAAATATTAAAACACTTCGTGCTGTAATAATTTTTCTTCACTAATATTGCTCTTGAATAAATATAATATACATAAAATATATAACACAACACTAATTTATTTTAAATTTTCTATTTTAGCTGATTCCAAAAAAAAAAATAACGTTTACTGAACGACGTTGCGACTCAACCATTTCGTACTGAATGTTAGAAACGCATTTGTCATTCCCTTTCGCAATTAATTGATAAGAATTGGATTATAAAGATTATGTATGCACATATGTATGCCGCAATTTGAAAGCACATAAATCAAAACAATAAACACTACGCAACATTCTACTAATTAATAAAAACAAAGATCTTTGAACGAAAGCAGTCTTCAACAACAGCAAAGTTCTCTCATTTTTTTTAGCGCTTATGCACGTGAACGATTCGTTGATAATGAAAATATTCAAGTGCACAAGCACCATCATAAACAACCAGGTGCAAATGTACTTAAAATTAGCTATTGGTTTATATAGCGGATGTGTGACAGGGTTCAATCCTCAACACACCCATTGTTTCACTATTTACAATTAAGGTAGACGATAACATTCTATTAAAAGAGCGTTAAGCAAAGAACTCAGTTAAGAGAGAGTCTGAATAGAATTCCTATATCAGAAATAAAGCTTTCGAAAGCTTAAAAAAATTAATTATTCTTATGCTAACTACACACGAGGCAACCTTTGAAGCAACCAAGCTTTGTTGCTTCACCTGTGGAATCGCGTCTAAATATCAAAACATTTGTAGGTGTTCTGAAAGAAAAAATTCAACAAACTTTCGTAGAAATTTCGAGCTTTTTTTTAATTCTAAGAATCAACCGTAATTTTTAGCAATTTGAAACTTACTTTATTATACTAGAATACAATGGGCTACAAAACTGCATACTCAGAATCTTATTAAAAAAAAATTTACGAAAATATTTTGATATTTTTTTGATATATTTTTTTTTTAATTGCATAAATTTTTAAGGCAGTGGCACTCGATTTGTACATTCGTACAGATTTGCACATTTTTATATTGGGCTATTGGTACAAAATAAAAAAATTGGGAACATTTTTCATGTAATCAAAAGATTGGAACAATATAGCAATTTTCTTTTAAAAAATTTCAACAAATTATTTTTCGTGATTGGAATAAAAAAAAAATATTTGGGTATTCACACAACCGGGATACGATTTGCACCAAATTTCGGCAAATACCCAATCGTGTAACGCTGCCCTTAAGCTTGTATTTTTTTATTTTGCATTGTATTTTTATTATTGTATTGTTAAAGAATGAACTATAAAAAGCTAACCAAAATTAAATAACAACAAAAATAATATTTTAAAAATTGTCAAAATTTGTCTGATTGACTATGATTACTCGGCCGCGCTATCATAGTAGCACAATGCCACGGGCACAAATTTCAAAATTTCAACCCTGTTTGTGAGAAAAATTTTATTTTTATCAGTATTTCTCTTTTAATCAAACTATGTTGAAATAAAATTGAAAAAAAAAAATAAAAAATTTTCAGAACCCCCTCATTAATAATTTTATTTAAAAATAAAATTTTTGTTTTTGTGTTTTTTTTTTTGTTTTGTGGCTCTTTGTAGCATCTAGAATTTACATGTGGCTCTTTTCGGCCTCAGCCTTGCCCACCCCTATTCTATAAATTGACTTGAAAATACTATTGATCTTCACTATCCCAATGATCTGAAAAAAAATTCCCGTTGTAAATTGTACACTTAGCAAAAATTGTTCCCAAAAGTTATTGTAGAGTCGAGACGAATTTGATTCAGGTAACTGAAACAGTTTAGGAAAAAAATTAGATTTTTGTTTTGCTTCTGCAAAACATCGATGTGCGGAAATATCTTATAAGGAAATACGTAAAAATTGAGCTGAGAGCTCGTTATCGAAGCGTTCGAATATTTTAGCATTTTTTTAATTAGTAGCGGTGAAGCCGAGATAATTCTAAATGCAACATTTACACTCAAATTTTATTCAGCTTCAAAATATAAATATATGAACATATGCATATTGGTTAGGCAACGTTTCTTCTTTGAAGCGTGTGCATCGCTTTCAAATAGTCGCTTTGCCATGACTAGGAAATTATTTTTCTGAAAAGTTCATCGAATTATAGAAACACTTAGCATGACAAGGGGAACTGATTTGATCGCATAACCTATTCTCTACCATAGTAGGGGAGACACCCTTTTTCGAACGCTTTGTTTTCCACCTATTTTTTTAGACAATGCTATCACTGAACTGATAAGAAGTAAAGGCGGTTTTCAACCTTAGCTACTGATAATGTGAACTGATAGTGTTGTGGTTAACGTATTGTTTTCACATTAGAATACATACATACATACATACGAAGTGTATTTTTATATGTAGTTGATTAATTTTAGAATGTGCATATAATAAATATGCACGCGCTAGCAAATACTGCATTACTAATTAGTCACAGCCAAACGAAGGGGATTCTGCCGATAAGGCAATGTTAGAAACAAAAAGTGAATACAATGACACCAAATCAAAAATAACCAGTTTTTTGTTTTTACAAATTCTTGAAAGCAATTATACGGATGATTTGAAGTTTTGCAGAGCAGAAGTTCCGCACAAAAAAAAAAAATCGGGATAGATTGAATGAACAGTTGCTACTTTTAAAAGTGGAAAATGGTGAAAGAAATATTTAGTAAAATATGTTCACCGAGAATTTGGCTTAATATAAGCTCGACCCGAAGCCTATCAGGACCTATATGGATAAGTGTTTGTTTTATGTAAATAAATAGTGCGGTAGTTTTATTTGGATTGAGGTAGAACTCCTTTGAAAATAGATAGAAATAGGTTTAGGGTGAATTTGCTTTATACCGGACTCGCAGCTACGAAAAATTTTATTTTTCCGATATAAAAATACATGGACAACTTTAAGCGACCTCTAAATATTTTTTGATTTCAAAAAAAAAAAAATAAAATAAGGGTATAATTTTTTCGATATAGAACAATCCTAGGGGATGAGAGCCATTACAATTCCAACTTTACTGTTTTTTGGACCACCCTAATGTACATACGCTCTAAATACTACTTATGCTCTTACTTACCTCAGCCCACATGCAAACAATAAGCGATGCGCAGGTCATTAACATCGGATAATACGCCGACATAAGTGTAATCGCCCATTGTGGCTGTAAATCCAACTGCAATACAAAGGAAAAGACAATTAATGATAATCCATAAATGAATTATTGCAATCAGAGTTGCCACAGCATTTTTTTATTTTTTACCAAAATTACCGGAAAAATTTACCAAATTCTACAAAAAATTACCAAAGTTAATTTATGTGCAGAACTGTACAAAAAATGTCGCTTGCTTTATTTTGGCAGTAAGGGCTCGTTATGTCTGTACATATGTATTCCGAAGATACCAAGCTTTTCAGGCAATCAGTGCTTCATTCACCTAAAATTTTTACGAAAGTTTGTTGAATTTTTTTAAATATTGAACAAAGTTTGAAATTTGAATTTACACGAGTTCTGTTAAAGAAGGAACTATATTTTTATAAAAAGTAACCAAAATTAAATAAAAAAAATAATATGTTAAAACTTGTCAAAATATGGTGCGGCTATAATTTTTTCGACCACTGTTTGTAAACAAGTGACAAGAAAATATATCAAAAATTCAACGATTGAAGGAAAGCTTTCGACTCACACATACACAGGGTGAAGTCCCCCACCGAATGCCGTAGCTTTTTGAACGAGAACATACATATGTATTTACGTAGGGTTCTACTCCTACGTATGGATATGGTAGATATACTTAGTATTAGCCACTTTCAAGCAGTTTGTTGAAGATCACACAATTCTAAATAGTAACCAAGAAACGCTGGCACAACTTTCGCTTTGCGAAACTTTTAGGATACAAGGAAACGCTTACCGGCCACTTACTTATGCGGAATCAGAACCTATATTGTAGAAGTTACCAAATTGAAAAATAAATTACCAAATTACCAAACTTGAGAAATAAAGAAAAAAATTGCCAATTTTGGTTAAAAATTACCAAAGCGGCAACGCTGATTGCAATACGCATCGCTTGCTCTTCCAGGGCATTATACACATATGCACATATATACTCATATTTTGTACTTACCGGTGTTGTAAAATAAGCGCCTCTTAGGGATGCCGCCACGAATACCATGAAGTATAAGACTTTTTGTGTTGTCAGCCGACAGGCACGCAAAACTGATGGCTGTTTCAAACGTTGATATTCGGCAAATATGCAAATGAAAAGTTGCACAAGAGAAACCAGTGCTACAAAATAGAAAACAGCCGAAATGCCCGCATAGTAAGGCAGATTGAAGCCACTGCATTCATCGCCGGCGTAGCGTATCTCACACAGGCAAGTGCCATTTAGGCAATCACCACGTCCGGAACAAGTGGCAATATTGGGATCGTTGTCGTTGATATTAAAGGGTGAGGATAGTGATTTGGATATACCATCAACGACGGCATAGCTGCCGTCACTAATGCCGCCGCCGCCGCCGCTGTTACTGCGGCCACCCATGGGTGTAGAGGATTGCAATACGCTCGCTGAGCACCGCATTAATTTGTGGAAATTGGATAGCATTCTACGATGAATTACCTGAAAGGAGATAAATAAAAGGAGTTTATTGTAAAAAAAGTTGATAAAATTTAATAATTTTATATATATATATTTTTTTAAGGTCTTGAAAGGTGTTAGGAACTAAATATTGGTAGCTCAAAACGTGTGAAATAAAAGAGATAACAAACTATAGAAAGTAAAAACATGCATGCTTTGTTGTAAAGCTCCGTATGCAGTTCTCAAGAAAAATCACAAGAAATATTTTTAATTTTTTCGGTTACGGGGAAAAGTACTTTTTAGTTGCTGTAAATTTTCTTGAAGAAATAAATACGAGCATTTTTTTCTTAAGGGCCGCATACTGAACTCAGATATTGAGCATTGCGCCGACGGTTCTTCTTTAATCTGTTGAAGTTGTTTTTTCCACTCACTTTAACGAACTTTTATGGGCCTTATTAAAAAAAGGTCAAACTGATATGTTCCCGTGGGGACTAAGGCGTTGAAACTTCAGTGAAAAAATTTTCGATAAATTCATATACGCGCTTTTGAAGACAGTATGCTACCATGGAATTAAATTTATATGTACATATATCGTCACCATCAATGCAAAAGGCCATATTTGAAGCATTTGAAGTTTTACAAAAGTAAACTATCTTTTAAATTTAAATAGCAAATGCTTACGGAACTAACAAAACTTAAGTTTTTTAAGATGTTACTTTGAATTTTTGTACAGGGCCTCTGAGGGACAACTTCAATGTCCGTGACTTTGGACGCTTTGTAGTCAGGGGCCTTCCCACAGTATTCCAACAGAATCCTGTGTATAACTGACCGCTCCCGAAAGTGAGTAAGGATGGCTTTAATATCAGCGCGGATACCGCCTACACGACCTTGGGCCCTCAATGGGTATCCAACCAGCCACAAATAAGAAAGAGGTTTGGCCTCATGTTGGGGTTCTATGAGCATGGAAAGCTGCATCTACAATCCCGAAGCAACTCGGAGATGGCAGCGCAGCACACCACAAGATCAAAAGAAACGGGTAAAGTATGTGGAGGGACAGCCGAAATCGGCATCAGGTGGATTAAGGGTTAATCCACCCTAACCGAATTCTACCCTCCGCGTAAAGTAATTTATTCTATGGAGAATCACCACAGGTAAACGAAAAAAGTATAACGCAACAACACAAAAGACTGCGAAGAAATTAAAAAGAAAAACAAACTAGTGGTTGCTAGCACTCAAATGTTAAAGAGCTAAATGTTGAAATTTATTAGAAATTAGCATTAGTTATTTGCTGTCTGAATGGAAGAAGTTAATACAGCTAAATATGGTTTGGTTGACAAATGTGTGGTGCTAATAATATTCACAAATATTAAATATGCAAACAAATCAATCTTGAATTTTGAATCGATAAATTTGTGTACATAGGCCTTATTTATAAATACCGTGGCGGTGAAGAATGGATGAATGGTGTTTCGTTTTTAATGCTTACAATGTTTTTTCAAGCTAAAATTTTTTGTGATATTTTTTTATAAAATTATAGTTCATGCTTTAACAAAAACCATATAAATCACAATTTCAAACTTTATACAGAACTTAGAAAAATGCCATAAATTTTTATCTAAATTTCGAACTTTTTAACCAGATTTTTTTTTTTAATTTTTTGGGTATGCAGTTGGGTATGCAGGCTTATAAAATTTTAGTTAAATTAAAGCAAGTTTTGAGCGGCTGAAAAATCGAGTTGATTTTTAATATTTTTTTTTTTTTGCTGAGGGCTTTTTCGGGTTTTTTCATATCGTCGCCTGGGTAGAAGATTGTCGTAAGCACAATTTTGACGATTTTTAGTTCTATATGCAGTTATATATTTTGAAATAAGGTCTTTCAATTGGTGTTATCAGTTTTTAGATTTCTCCTTTAGTTTCCGAGATATTGACTACAACTATGTCGATAATTTAGTAAAAATTTAGTTAGTTATGCAGTCATATTAAACTAATCAATATCTTAGAAATGGTGTTCTCCATTTTTGTATATCTCCTTTAATTTCCGAGATATTGTGTAAAAAGTGTCGTTAATTTTGTAGAAATTTTGATCACATTTTGTCGTATTTCATACAAAATGGCTGCCGAATTGTGGACAAATGGCGCTTACGACAAAATTTTACTAAAGAAAATACTTCATAAACTCAAAACTAATTAACAATAAACATTCAAAATTAAATAATTTAAGAGTTTTGTGAACTAGTAACATTTTCAGAGACTGGAGAAATTCTATCTTCGCGTTTTTGAGAAATTGTATTTCAAACTTCAATCGCGATTTCCCACAACCTACCGAAATTAACATACGACAATCTTACCCAGGCGACGATATAAAAAGCGCAATTTAGGAAAACAGGGCATGAATCACGTATGACGACAATCGTCTGAACGATATCGTGTCGAGATTGTCTTGCTTCATAAAAATCAAAAATTGTTTGATCGTTTGTGCGATATCGTCAACTCGATTCCAGTTTTGCTTCACGTAACAGTAACAGTAACACGTAACAGCAACACAAATGCATAAATCAGTGTTTTGACAACATCGTTTTGTCAGTATCGTTTGAACGACTATCGTTTCAAAGTTACGTGATTCATGCCCAGTCATTGACTGTTTATTTATTTATTTTTTTCGCAACAGGTTCTGCGCATATTCTTCCACAAAAAATTCATGTTTATATGGAAAAAAGTTCAAAACGCCTATAACGAAAAAAAAGAAAAAAATGCGATTTTTTATCAACTGAAAACTTGCACTAATTTTACTAAAATTTTATAATCCTATTAACTGCATACCTAAAAAATTAAAAAAAAAAAATCTGGTTAAAAACTCGAAATTTTGATAAAAATTCCGTATAAAGTTTGAAAGTGTTATTTATATGGGTTTTGTTAAAGCATGAACCATATTTTTATAAAAAAATGTCAAAAAAATTATATCTTGAAAAATATTGTAGATATTAAATACGAGACAGCATTCATCCACTTTTGACCGCCACTGTACATACTAACACACAGTCAGCGTCAAAAGCATGCACACCCCGACGCTTTGACGATTTTGTTAATCTATANATAACGAAAAAAAAGAAAAAAATGCGATTTTTTATCAACTGAAAACTTGCACTAATTTTACTAAAATTTTATAATCCTATTAACTGCATACCTAAAAAATTAAAAAAAAAAAATCTGGTTAAAAACTCGAAATTTTGATAAAAATTCCGTATAAAGTTTGAAAGTGTTATTTATATGGGTTTTGTTAAAGCATGAACCATATTTTTATAAAAAAATGTCAAAAAAATTATATCTTGAAAAATATTGTAGATATTAAATACGAGACAGCATTCATCCACTTTTGACCGCCACTGTACATACTAACACACAGTCAGCGTCAAAAGCATGCACACCCCGACGCTTTGACGATTTTGTTAATCTATATTTTCCACATCAAGTTTTTCACTTTTTTTGTTGAAATATAGTTAATTCTGTAGAGAGAGAATAAAGAACACGACGGTTTGAGGTTTATGAGT